TACATGTGCCAATTATATGCATGTCACTTGAGTACAGACACACGCACGTGCGGATCATATGCATCTCACTTGAGTGTGGATACACACTCGCAGATCATATACATGACACTTGCTTCATCTATACTACATATGGACGAGAACAACTTAAGGAATGAAGAGCCAGAGGCCCTATTCCCTTGCTGGTCTGCATCAGGTAGTCGTCTTTTCTAACTAATTAGGAGCAAATGACTAAAGGCAGCCAACTAAAACTCAAGATTAGAGGGCAGTCACCTGTGGGTTAGATACCTGAAAACTGACCTCATGATCAGCTGTGACTCCCTGGGACTGTGGAGCGTGAACCACAGAGTTAGAGAAGCAATTTGTCCTGTGGCTATGAGCAGATCAAAACCTATGATGTTGGTGGTGTCTGGAAACCTTCACTGTGAGTTCAGATTAGTTCTGGGAGGACTTGCAGGGCTTGAGTAGATTAAAAAGCAGAGCTTAATAGTATTTTAAACAAGATGGTATCACCATTCAGAGGTAATTCTACATGTTAATATCTTTGTCCATACTAGCTTTCTAATAAACTGCATTTTACTGGTAGGGTATGGGATGCTAATTATCAATGGGGTTTTGTTTTCAAAAGGAAAAGTCACACCAAATGTCTGCATTGGATAATTTCCCATAGATGAACATCAAATGACTGATGTTGAATTTACTCACCTATTAGAGAAGCATGTACATATATTATGTCACAGTTTGGTTTCATAAAAATATTTTAATAACTCCATTTTAATATAACTGATATTCTTTTTAATCTCATGTATGTTATTTTATACATTAAAAACATGGGTCTGAGAAGAAAGTCTCCGAATAGAAAGAGCCCCCCTGTCATATGAGTAGGCCTGGGCTATAGTACTTGCTAAACAATCCTCCTTTTAATGTATTTATTTTGGGCAATTTAGAAAATTGAGATGAAATTCACATAATATAAAATTTACCATCTCAAAGTGTACAGTCACTGGATTTTAGTATATTAACGAGATTTTATAACCATCACTACTATCTAATTCCTGAACACTTCATTACCCCAAAGAGAAACCCCATCCCTGTTAGCATCACTCCCCACTCCCCCTGCCCTAGCCCCTGGCGACAACTAATTTGCTCCCTGTCTCTATGGATTTGCCTATGCTAGACAGTTCTTATCAATGGAACCAGATAGTATGTGGCCTTTTCTGTTTGGCTACTTTCACCTAGAATGGTATCTTCAAGATTCACTTCTATTGGAGCATATGTCAGAACTTCATTCCTTTCTATGGCAGAATAATATTCCATTGTATGGATGTACCACATGTGGTTTATTGTTGATCCATTCAGGCCAAGTTCTTTTTCAGCCTTAGGTTCTACACTTGCAAAATGAAGAGATTAGGGAAGATGATGGCTAAGGATTGTCCCAGCTTTCAAACCATGTTTGTGCACCCTCCTTTTAGCCACTGCTGCATTGTTTTGCATAAATCTCTGCTTTGACTCAGTTCTAACTGACCTGTTTTCAAAGATTAGCCTATCCAATTCCTCAGCACGTGTTTTTCAGTTCTATCCATTTATATGTACCCCCAAAATTTAAAAACCAATTTGGAGATCGTACCTAACTTAGGCCTTTGGGGTAGATGTCTTTAATGAAATATTCCCCTTCTTCAATTATCTTTACAACATTACAGCAACCATTCAAACTATAATGAGCTGGGCCCATGCATAGGAGGCTGAATTTTTTTTCAATTACAACCGACAGAAAACTTCTTTTTAAATATCTGTGGCATTTTGGATGCCCCCGGGAACAATTCAAGGTCTCTTCCAACGTTCCCACACTGCCATTCTCAATGCTGAATTCCAAAAAAGAATTTTCATCTGTCACTTTAAAATTTCAGCAAATCCCAACAGCTTATTTCCACTAAGCCTGTAAAGGATCAGAAAGATAAAGGAGGAAAGGGCTCATGGAGATAAGGAACTAGCAATAAATCCTCCAACAATGTGAGCACAAAGCGTTGTTCAAAGAGTTCACTTGAGGATCTGCGCCCGCTTCTTAACGCATTGCCTTCACTCTTGTCTTTATTAGATTACGGAATAGCACATAGAAACAACAGTCAGAAATAACACAAGGCTTCTTAGGCGGTACAACAAATACATATTTATTATGGGAAAAGAAATTGTAAATTATGTAGAATGTTATTGGATTTTATGCTCTCTCTCATTCCCCCAATGCATACATTTAAAAAGGAATCGCCCGTTTCATCTCCTCACCTTTCTCTGACATCAAGTAAGCCCTGTTTTGCTTTCAGCCTGTTCCTTTGTTGCATAACCACACTCTCAATCCATTCTTTCATTTCCTCCCAAGTGCTTTCCATCACACCGTGGCCTCTGAACCTCACGTTTGAGACACCTCATTACACCCACCGGCACGTGGTGCTGAAGCGTTTACTGTGCTCAGCCCAGGATATTCTTTGCTTGCAAATGCTTTAGGTTCTTTGGGAGATAAACCAAGAAATCTGCAAATTCATACCTAATCTGTCATAGTCCTGTCACCCAATTCAATCCTCTCTAAACAAAATCCTTTTGGTGAAAGGAAGACAATACCCCCGTTTCATAAATAATTTTTTCCACCAACCTTAATCTGCTGTCTATGAATATTAATGAGTCTCATCGATTCATGTCTCCATTTTATGTCCTATATTAGACACCTTCCCAGAAAGCTAGCTGTCAAGGTTGCATAGGAACCTATTTCACTTTCACATTAAATTAGCAAAATGAAAAAGGGCGACTTCTTTGGCTTGTAGGTTTCAAGAGATACCCCTTTAGCCCTACACTCTGATTTTTGTTTTTTACATTGCTTTTAAATTACAGGCTGATCTGTGCAGGAAAGAGAGTTAGGTCACTTCTTTTTTGTTTGTTCCAGGCAAGAGTTGACTGGTAATTGGTGACCTGATACCATGGAAAATTTTCAGAGACCTACAACATGTGTTTCTGTGTTTTTCTCTTACCACTAATTGTGACTTCTTTGCTTGCCTTTCTTTCTTTTTCTTTTCTTTTTTTCTGTTTTGGTGCCTTCCTTGTTGGATCTATGTCTGAATTCCTATGAGATTCTGCTTCTTTTGGCTATTCCTGCCTTTAAATGTTTTTCCAGGGGACAGCAGATTAAATAGGATTGGTTCCAGGACTGCCACTGGCGTATAGGGAATCTTTGTGAAAATTAGAGAAGTGGTCTTCTGACAAACTAATTAGAAAATGGCTTTATGACATTTCCTCTAAGGGGACATATTAGGAAAAGGAGCCCCTCTCTGGGTGGACATAGCTGTGTACAGGATCCAGGTTCTGTGGGGAGGCGGACTGCATTTTAACACCCACTCCCTCTCGACGGGGCACCCTGGTTCATTTCTCTCATTAAATCTTTCACACGTCTCTCTTAGCTTATTTCTTAGACCCAAGATATTTCTGGGACACTAGAGGCCTACCCTTTATGCTTAGTTCTTTTCCAATTGCAATTCACTTTTTTTTTTTCTTTCTTCTTTTTCACAGCATTCATGTTTAACCCCTTGTTTATCTGCCAGGTTTTACTGAAGAAACCTCACCTTTACAACATTTGAGCAATGTGACTAGGAATTCCAATGGCATCCTTGGATTCTTTTGTTTATTTGATTGGTTGAGCTTTTTAATACATGCTTTCACATGTTTCACAAAGACTTGTTTGCCCATAGCATTCTATGTTGCTTAAATGACAAACATGGCTAGTTGCCAGAGGAGGCCATGTTATTTGAGGGGATCCTGGAAGCCTGCTCTGGTTCTATATATACTCCTCCCTTGCTTTCCACACATGCCTGAAATTCCATCTTAAAGTCATATTGTTTTTTATTAAGTAAATATAATATAACATACTTAGAAATAAAGTACACTGTATCAGTCATTAACACTTTAGTGAAAACTAGATTATAAAATCCGATCCCAGGGACAGCTATGAGAAAGAAGGAAGGGTTTGGGGCATATAGAGAACTTACTCTCTGGAGGGTAGGCCTGGTTAGGTAGGCATAATACAATTTGAGCACATTGGGCATTTGGGAGATCTCTCAAAGAACCAGGAACATGGAAAGCAAACTTTCCCTTGCCAAGTTTTTGTCTACAGCAATCCCAGAGTAGGGCTTGGTATCAACTGTTCAACAGTATTGGTGTTTTCCAAACCAAGTAAAGGTGGGACTTTTTTTTTTTTTTAACTTACTGGGACACCAGAGAATTTGAATTTCTGCTTTAGAATGAAGCCAGTCACTCCCTGTTTTGTCCTATCTGGTGTAAACATTAAACTTTCTCAAAGGCCCAGGATTGATGTTAGCAGGACAGCATATACACATCCAAAAAATTAATTTCTCACATGAACATGGATGTCTGTGGCAAGATCTTTGGGTCATAGTTCACAAATGCAAGGAATATTGAAGAAATTAGGGTCCTTAAAGATCATCATTAGTCCAGTCTAAATGTGGGCTGCACACACATTTAAGAGCACAAAGCCATGAGTTACATACAAATAAACATGAAATATCTTCCTGAAGTGTCAATTTTACTAGACAATCACAAACTTAAAATGTGAGTCTTAAATTAAAACAAGCATGACTATATTGTGGAATTGAGTACAGCAGTCACAAGAACTTGAACAAGCACCGAGGGAAATGAATACATGATTACGGAAGACAGAGCTTAAAGGGATCTTAGAAATCATCTAGGCCTGCACACTGAGGCCTGATCATGCATCAGAATCACCTGCAGAATTTCAAACAAAACTCCAAAACAAGATTGAAACTGGGCTGCTTTCCAAACGGGTTCTGGTACGTTGATATTTCTCCAAAGCCTTGGAGGTGATTTGAAGGTACAGTCAGGGCTGAGAGCCACCAAATTCTAGCCCAGCTGAGGCTCAGAGAGGTAAAGTGACCCCAAAACATACAACAAAAATTTGTATTTGGTGTTTTTATCTATTGCTCTAGGTATGATATTCTTCTCAACGGGATCAGCTGTATAATTTGTGGACCCAGTGCAAAATATGAATCTCAAGACAGCAACAGCAAAACATTAAGCGCAGAGCCTTTGTATGTATGGAGCCCAGCGTGAAGTCGATCCTGCCCCTCTAAAAGGCTGAACAGCGAGCGTGTTCAGGGCAGCAACCACCCTGAGAGCACAGCTGGAGCAGGTCCACGGGGTGGAGAGGAGCCTGCCTTCCTCTCCCTGTCTTAGTTTACGGGACTAGTTAACATGCTCACATGCACACAAACACATATGCACAAATGCACAAACATACACACCTGGACAGGTAGTTCAAAGAACCCTCTGACAGAAGTGTTCAGCAGAATGAAATCCAATTTTTTAAAATATGAAAGCATATTTCCTTGTTTATCTAAGTCAGGAATGAAACTGTCATCTTTTGAGTATAACCTATGTTCAATGGGTTTAAAATTCTAGTTTATACTTTCAAAATTCTAGTTTATACTTTCTCTCCAAACCACAACCCCACTCCCCATCCCTGCATCATCTCCCATACTTCTAAATCTTTATCTGGAATTGTAGACTCAGAAGACTGAAAAGCATTTTGTCATATTTTGACCCAAACTGCCCTCTCTAAAATAAATATCTGTGGTGTTGGGGGTCGCCAGAACTACCCACCCACACACACAGAATGGAAGCCCAGCAGAGCCGATAAGGACTCCAGACCTGAGAGTAAACCTCACCCTCAGGAGGCCATTCTTTCTGGAGAAGGAGGATGCGCACTTCTGGGCCTGGAGAAAGACCTCTGTGAGGGCCAGGAGGGAAGGCACAGGGTGGGCCTGGGGTCAGTGCGAGGAGGCAGAGGGCCATGACCAGTGTATTGGAGGAAGGGGGAGACATTCATTCTCTTGAGATTGAGCAGGGAGCAAGATACTGAGAGCTAACGATTCAAGAGGAGGATGGGGGACACCAGGGAATTCAGGGTAGAGATGAAATTCTCATTACATCACCACTGGATTAACACACAAGCCTTCCTCTCTCCCAGGATTTCTTCTTGGAGCTGGCTGCTATGAAATATTTGGGTCCAGAGATGCAGGGAAGCCCTAGAGGAAAGAAGGTGATTGCTGTTTCTGGGAATTTGCATCCAGCCTTGTAGACACAGCAGCCAGTGACCATCGCCTACAGGACTGCAGATGCTTTCTCAAAACCCTGGAAATCATGAGGCATCTGGTCCCGAAGGCGAGGCCAGTCTGCTCAGGTGCAGAGAGATCCAGTGTGGTCCGTTCTATGAGGACCAATGCTTACCTGGCCAGCCTTCTTGATGCCAGAACCTTGTCTGTACTAGTGTTCCTTTGGCTGGCCCCTAACAATATCTAAGTCTGCCTCTCAACCCAGAACTTCATAAAAATAAGAAAGGATTCATTGAGATTCAGAAAAGGCACATGCTGGAAAACAGTATAAACAGTTTCCTAAATATGTAACTATAGACCATGCACATGGATAGGTAGGCGATGATGCAAAACAAACCACAGATCCCACAGGAGCTTCTTAGTGCAGTGGTCAAGGCAGACTTTCAGGTCAGACAGACAAGTGTTCTGTTCCCACCTCTGTGTGATCTTGGGCAAAAAACTTAGTCTCTCTTAGACTTTTTTTTTCACTACAAAGTTGCCTTGAATACCTATTTCATAGACTTGCCTTGCGGGTTAAATGAAATGGTGTAGGTGAGGGCTGAATGTTGAACGTAGCATGAATGTTGTAGGTATTCAGCAATAATCACTATTAGCCACAAATCCTTTCCTTCTTTCTGCCCCCACTCTGGGGATAAATGAAAACCTTAGCCAAGAGGATGTTTCTGGCCGGGTCCTGTTCCAAACATTTAGCACTTTTTGTCCTAATTCTGTGGAGTTGGTTGGTCTCTATGCCACACGGTACTCTTTCACAAAAAGCCTAACAGGCTGGTCATCTCTCCATAACAGGGTCTATGTATTAATTGAAAGACAAACTTCTTAGCCTCTGTCTCCTGCTGTTTTCGAATGTCACACTTTGAACATGAGTCAAGATGAATAGTCGTAATTTGCTTCCCGATCAATTTGGGCATTGCTGGAAGATGAGACTATTCTTTCTATTTCTTCCAATGTGTGTCCAGAGAAGTGGCCCCAGAACTGTGTCTCTCTGGGTTACCTTCTAGCAGCCGGAGGGAGGGCTCATCCAGACCAGAACTTCTCAGGGGACCCAAGCCCTTCAAGAACATGTCTTTGAGCATTGTGTTGCAAATAAGAAAAGTAAGGACAATGAAACGAGATTTTGTTCAATAAAGCTTTTAATGGAAAGGACTATCCTTTATCCTTTATGCTGAGATTGTGACTTGCTTATATTTTTGGTATACAGTTATGCTTTTTTGGTGTAAAACAGTGGAGAGAGTAGACAGGAGTGGTTATTTGTAATGCTGTGGCTTGGCAAAATGAATGGCAGGCAAACTCATGTTACTCCCCTCACCATCACTAACCACCATCCAATTACAATTTAAAAAAAAAAAAATCTGGCCAGATGCAGTTACTCATGCCTGTAATCCCAGCACTTTGGGAGGCCAAGGCGGGTGGATCACTTGAGGTCAGGAGTCCGAGACTAGCCCGGCCAACATGGTGAAACCCCATCTCTACTTAAAAATATACTAATTAACCAGGCGTGGTAGTGCATCCCTGTAGTCCCAGCTACTCAGCAGACTGAGGTGGGAGAATCGTTTGAACCTGGGAGGTGGAGGTTGCAGTGAGCTGAGATCAGGCCACTGCACTCCAGCCTGGGCAACAGAGTGAGACGTTGTCTCGAAAAATTTTTTTTTTTTTTTGCTGGCTCATGAAATTAAAAAAAAAAAAGCAAAAAATAAATAAATAAATAAATAAAAGGCTGGAAACCACTGATATAGACCACCCAGTCTGTTTGAGAAAGAAAATCACTTCCAGATTAGCAGTTACCTGGAACATTTCCCCCTGGACTGGAGACCCCCGGGCTTTTGCTGCATAAATTATTTCATGTCTCCTACGTGGCTAACGTGGCTAATGAAGATGTGAGGAGCTTTATGAGAGTTTATGGGTTCCCTAATAAACCAAGCATGTCCTAATAAGGATGGATGCAAAATCGAATGAGCTGCCGTCATTCCTACCACGGATACAAACCCTGCCTTGTGTAATAGGTCTGAGAACACTCACCACCGCTGCGGATTTGGTACTTCCAAAATGTTGTGTTTATTTTCTTATACAAATTCTTATGTGAGAGTGTTAACTTTAACCAGTTTTTTGGGGGCTTTGAAAATACCACATTTTGGGGGGTAGGTGGGGAGTCTGATACTGTAAAATTACTTCTTTCATCATTGTAAGTCCCAAACTTCACTAGGAACGAGATGATGTTTCTAATAATGCATCCTGAATGACCTGCTGTTTTGTCTCATCCTCTTGTGTTTCCCAGGGTTGCCTGAGTAAATGTTTCTGGAGCTCCCTGGGAAGGGCCCCTGTGGTTCTCCAAAGGTTTTCCTGATGCTGCAGCCAGTTCCTGGGCTTCAGACTGCTGGTCTTCACACCATCCCGTTATCTCAGGGCGTTTCACTGTTCCAGACACTTCCCACTGGCCTTGGTCTCCCTCATCCTCTCTTCCTCTGCAAGACTTTGTGATTAATTTCTGCTGCCCCCTCCTGGAATGACAACTTGCTCAAGTCCTGCCCCCTTCCCCAGGGTTCAGTTCTAATCACATTTCCTCTGGGAACTCTAAGATCCCTAGAATGCAAATACCTGCCCTTCTTATTCTCCTACTGTACTTTGTACCCCCATAAGCCAAGATGCTTGTGATGAATGCCAAAATGGTTATTTACATGTTTTTCTTCCTACTACCTCCAGTAACCATATGGATACAAAGAATAGATCAAATTAGTTTTTTGAAACTTGCCCAAACACTGGCACGGTATAGGGTACATAGTAAGTCTGGCAAATATAGGATAAAACTGAGTTGTCTTAAATTCTAACTAGAGTGTAAATGACTGATTGTCATACCTCTACGGAATGTACAAGAAAAACTGTCTCCATGGTAGGAATTTTTGTTCTAATCAGTCCATGGAAAGAAAAGGCTATTATTGAACTTTCCAGGAAATCACCCAGGCTGAGAAGTCTACCCAATATGCAGGCGGGTAAAGTGCCAAAGAAGTTTATCAATTCATGACAAGAATTCTGCGGTGTCTCCTACCAATCTTTCCAAGTGACAACACTAGCAGGTTTCACACAGTATTAGCCTCATTTAACCAGCCATCATTTCCATTTAAAAAATATGAGGGGAAGAATTAAGAGCGAGTAGAAAAAAAATGCCTTCAAATGAAAATCTTTGCTTTTCTTTGAACATCCAGATGATTAAATGAGATCCAGACGAAAGCCTGTAAATTCCAAAAAATAAAGCCCAGCCGGGGGTATCTGCATTCCCTCATGTTTCTGCTGGTAACCCCGTGGTAAAGTAAAGCAATGATTGATTCGGAGAGAATTATGGCTATTATAAACTGTAATCAGTGGTGGATGAGAATAATTACACAGAGAAAGGGGAAAAAGCTGAAACATGGCTGAGCAGTGTTCTGATGGATGGGGAAGTCATTTCCTAGCTGTTAATGACTGATTTTTCAACAGTCAGCACGCAAGCTTTAATCCCAGAGGGGAGAAGGAGAAAGGAACAGTCACGTTATCAAGGATGCTACTGACTTAACCTTACCCATTTTCCTCTGGACATAGCTGGTGCCTGTCTCCCGTCTGTTCCTGCTATTGCAGACGTACCCTGAAGGGTTGAGGTCAGGACCTGGCCTTTATCTGAGAGACACTAGAAAGAGTTATGGCTGTAGAAAACTACCGTAGATCATGGTGGCGAGATACGGCATTCGGGTGTCATAGCATCGTAGGATGTTAGGACTAGAAGGGCCACAGAAATCACCTGATCCAATCTGCTTATTTTATAGATGAGTCCAGAGAGGGGAAGTGATGTGTCTACGTCACATAGCTAAGGGGCTTAGATGTAAGGGGAAATTGCTCCCACAGGACCCGGGAGACCAGCCTTATAAAATAGGCATGACCAGATCTCTGAGGGAGACAGCTTTGCTAAAGCCAATTCGAAATTGGCATCAGCTTGGTCTCTTGCCCTCAGAGATAAGCTCTGGAGTTCAGTATTCTCTCGGCATTTGTTGTTACTGGGTGAGGTTACACAAGGTCAGAAAGGGCATGGGTTTGTGGAATGAACAGTTCTGGTTTACAGACCAGTCATGAGTCCTCTAAACTGTGACACTGACACACACACACACACACACACACACACACACACACACACAGAGAGAGAGAGAGAGAGAGAGAGAGAGAGAGAGAGAACCCAATTTATCTTATCATTTGCAGCCATAAAACAGAATAACTGATAGAAGTGGATTAGAAGT